ACTGGGGCGCCCGGGGACCAGCTCTTCCTGCAGCTAGGGCTCCGGAGGCGGGGCCAGCGCGGGGACGGGTTACTAGGCGAAATCGCGGCGCTAGGAAACGCAGACGCCCGCGAGGGCTGAAACCGCCCCTCTCTCTGCCAGCTTCTTCTGTGTGCATCCTGGGAATCGTAGTCCTCTGTAACCAACTTGTGCGAAGAGCGGGTGGAGTGTACTACAAGTCCCAGGATTCCATGTGACCATAGGGCCTTGGATGCCACGGGAGCCCGCGTTTCTCTCATAGGAGCTAGCCGCTCACCCATACTGCAGTTGGTGCTCTGTAGTGACCTAGCCCAGAGGACTGCGCGTGTGTACTGAGAGCAGAGAAGATGCAGGGGAGAAAATTCACTTTCTCCTGTGTCAGTCCCTAAGGATTGCTGTAGCTCACGTCTGCCCGAATTGCAGCACTTGACTCACGCTGTTTCCTACTTCAATTTTTTCTGTTATTCCAAAGGATTCTAATTTATTCAAGTGCATTGTTAACGGAGTTTAAGAAAAATGCAAGGCATGTGGTCACTCTGTCATGTATAGGGGAATGAGCGCCTTCCTATGACCTGCCTTGTGCCCATGCAATGAACAACTAATTTTGGCCTTCAAATATAGAAGCCAGTGGCCATCCTAAAACTACCTGGGGTAAACTAATCTGTTAGTTCTGATTTTCAGGTTATGGCCACAGTCAACATTTGGGGAATGATTTTTAAATCCACTTGGCTAAGGTTGTGAAGGGTCCAGGTCCTCACCCTGGCTTTGGCAGCCATGGCAGACTGCAGAAAAGATCCAGCAAGATGTAGGCCCCTGACTCAGCAGGATGTGCTGAGCCCCACCCCCACCCCATTTTGCCCTAGTCACTAGGAAGCCAGATACTTTCCATGTGGTAAGGAACCAATCAGAAGTTAGTTGGTGGGCTCTGGGTGTACTTTACTGATAACAGTGGAATGCTGAGTGCTTTGGAAGGGCCTCTAGGCATAGCAACCTTCCTGAAGCTGCAGTTGACCAAGGACAGGCTGCCTAAGCCCTGAGGTGCACCAATCCTGAGACTTGTTGCTGTGCAATTAGCGGACCCCAGACACTCCCCTTGCTTTACCCCAATATATGCCCTGCCCCACTGCTGCTTGAGGTCCTTCCTGCCCCATCCGCTGTGTCAGACGGATGGAAGACCCGAGTTAACCCCAGTTAACTTGCTAATTATTAGGATTCTTTGCTTTTGCATTGGATCTGGTCTCATGGTGGTTTTGAGGCTTCAGAATCTGGGCACAACAGTTGATCGTTTTGATTCTTTTATAGATCTGTTTCTTTATCTACGTGGAGCTTTAACAGAATGCTCTGCCCTGGTAGGAAAGGGAATGCTGTAGGTTTGAAGTGCCAAAGTTTGGATGAGCCTGCAACGATGAAGAGAATGTAAATTCACTTCATATTTTCTAAGAAAACAGAATCTACAAATAAGAGACATCTTTTTTAAGGTAGTGAGGACACTACCAAAAATTAAAACATGGCTTATAGGGATTTGAAATTGTCTTAACTTGCTTCCTATTCCTATAATCATGTATGCAAGACATTGATTGATTGGATTGGATTGGATTGGATTGGATTGGATTGGATTGGATTAGTTCTTGATTTTTGTGGCAGGGAAGACCAAGAACATGTAGCTCAATATCTGGTGTTGAAACTTATTACATCCTATCCTGGCAAAGGGCATCACATGGCAAGACAGAGTAAGAATGCTAACTCATGTCTCTTTTTATAAAGCCCACTAATTTCTTGGTGAACCCAACCTCATTAATTTATCTAATGCTGGATAACTCCTGGAAGCCTTACCTCCAAATACCAGTAACATATGAATCATAAAATTGAATTTTTAATTCATGAACTTTGTGGCATATTATCAAACCATAAGAGAGACATCAACAAAAATCTAGATCATGAATAGCATCTTGTCATTGAATGAATTTCATAGATAAATAAATTACATATAAGAAGAGGAAAACATCTTCCAGACATAATAAAGAAAACCTTCATGGAAGAAACATGAAATATAGATACAATTGTGATAAGTAAAGAAAATTGAAAGCGCATTCTACCTGTTCCTATGGAATAAAAAAAGGCTTACAAAAATATATCTAAATCTATTTAAAGAATAGATTGAAAATGGAGCTGAACAGAGAGAGGTTTGTACTACTTAAAATAATGAAGAATCTTTCATTCACTTGTGAGAAGAAGAATAACAATAAAAATAATAGTAATTGGTGGGATGCAATGGTACATGCCTCTAATCCCAACACTTGGAAGGCAGAGGCAGGGGATCTCTGTGAATTCAATGCCAACCTGATCCTACATAGAGATTTTTCAGGGCCACATAGACAGACACTGTCTCAAAAAGAAGTAATCAAAACATGCATTATCTAGAGGTCTGAGACAGAGCTTGAAATGCTTCTTTAGAGACAGTGGCAATCGCCCAGAAAAGAGTGGACATAGTCCATAGAAAAGTTGGGAGTGATGGTGGTCTCTATTGTAGACCAGTCTGGCCTGGAACTCAGAGATCCACATCCTCTGCCTCACCAAATACTGAAATTAAAGTCATGTGCCATCAGGACCAGCTGGTCATGGTGTTTTATAATCACAATAGAAGCCCTAAGACAGCAATTGGTACCAGGACATGGGATAATGCTATGACAGACCTGACCACATGTTTGAAGGAGAATCATGGAAGGACATTGGAACTTTGGCCTTGAAAAGCCATTGAATGTTTAAAGCTTAATGAGCTGTTATGGGACCCTTGAAGATAAGGCAGAAGCAGTGCAGATGATGGCGGCCTGGCTCGTGAAATTCCCTCCTAGACTTATTCTCATCAGTGTGATATTTTGAATTAAAAACCACCAAAGAACATTTGATTTGCTGTGATTAACAAGAGATCAGCAAGAGGCAAAATCTACTGAGAAATGTTTCCTCAAGTTCAGCACACAGAAGCTGTGATCCACAGGGGTGATAGGCTAAACCTTGTGCCAGTAGTCAATATTAGTAAAGTGTAAAACTCTGCAAGGTTTTGGTTTTGACAGCATGAAGTGGCCATGGAGAGCAGATGAGGCTTGGTACTGTGAAAGTCCATGACAGGCTATTGTGTTTTGCTAAATTGTTCTATTACCAATAAAAGCTCAAGAGTCAGATATTGGGGTGAAAATCATACAGATCAAGGAAGCAGAGGAAGAGCACCCAGATGGCCTTTCCTTTTTCTACTAGAGACCCACACAGTGCCTCTTGTACCCACAAGTCCCAGATCAAAGAGAGCACACGAATTCCAAGTCCCTCCCATTTTCCTGTCCATATTTCTGGCTTCTCTATGGCTAATCCTGGTCAGCTAGTCTCTGGCTCCACTCCATGATTCAAGGGTAACTTTATTAACACTGTCTAGAAGTGTCACAGTGCAATCAAATATACCACAGCATTCCCACTTTTTGTCTAAATAAAAATAAAGGTTTTAACTCTAACATAGTAAAACTATATATAATAAGAACCATTATCTGGCATTGTCTAAATAGAAAGGAAAGGTTTCAATTCTAGCGTAGTAAAACTACAAACAATAAGAACAATTATCCGGTAAGAATTGTACTCACAATATTCAGTCCATTTGTACTGGCAAACTTGGAGAAAATAATCTATCCTATCTTGGTGAGTCCAAAGTTTTATACCTAAACCATTTTCTATCTTGTATTACCAACCTAAAAATATCTTTTTAGACCTAAAAACATTTTCTTATATAAATTAAGATTTTTGTGTCTCTAGACCTTTATAAACTTTACATCTCTTTTATAAATTTCATTTCTGAATTTGGTAACAAAGAAGATGATGTAACTATCTCATCTTCAACCCCATCAGAGACATAAGAAGGATAAAATATTACCTGAGGAAACATGAAGGGCAAAGCAAACAACTTGCAAAACTAAATGACAGAAACAGCTGGCTGTAGGGGACACCCTCTACAGGCATTTCTGACCTCACCAATGAAAGTCAGCCTTTGTGGCCTGTGCAATCCTTTATGGGTTCTCTGGGTTTTACTTCTGAGCACTGTGCAGCCAGAATGAGCCATTGAAATGTTTAACTCAGTGTTGTTTCTTCTCCTCTCAGGCTTCCAACAACTTCTCAGTGTTTTTTTTTCTTTTTATCTAAATTAGAAACAATTTTATTTTACATATCAATCCCAGTTCCCTCTCCCTCCTATCCTCCCATGTCCCCCACTGACCCCCCCATCCCATCCCTCTTCTGCTCCCCAGGGAGGGTGAGGACTTTCATGGGGGATCACCAAAGTTTATCACATCATTTGGGGCAGGGTCTAGGCCCTCCCCTGTGTGTCTAGGCTGAGAGAGTATCCCTCTATTGATAATGGGCTCCCAAAGTCCATTCCTACACTAGGGATAAATACTGTTCCACTACCAGAGGTCCCATTGACTTCCGAGGCCTCCTAACTGACACCTACATTCAGGGGGTCTGCTTTGGTCCTATGCTGGTTCCCCAGCTGTCAGTCTGGGGTCCATGAGCTCCTCCTTGTTCAGGTCAGCTGTTTCTGTGTGTTTCTACAGCCTGGTCTTGACCCCTTTGCTCATCACTCCTCCCTCTGCAACTGGATTCCAGGAGTTTGCCTCAGTGACTAGCTGTGGGTGTCTGCTTCTGCTTCCATCAGCTACTGGATGAATGCTCTATGATGGCATATAATATAGCCATCAATCTCATTATCAGAGAAGGGCATTTAAGGTAGCCTCTCAACTATTGCTTAGGTTGTTGGTTGGGGTCAACCTTGTAGATCTCTGGTCATTGTAATAATTTTTAAGGATTAGAACTTTACATTACATTGTTAAATGAGCTACATAGGTACATTAAACAAGAGTAGAAATATATATATGCAGAATTTTATAACAAAAATAACCT